GAATCACCACTCTGGTTCTTCCTCTCCTTCCATTCACACATGCTTTGTTCCGTGGGACCCTCCCCCCGCGCTCCGCGCCTCGTCGCGCCCCCCCCGCGGTCGGACCCGGCTCGGCAGGTTTGATCCTCAAGCAGGCGGCCTCCTCTGAAGAGGACGGCGACCTGCGCGCCGCTGGGGAGATGCCCGGAAGGCCCAGAGGATGTATCGGTTGGGCTCCGGTATAGGTGGGTAGGTCGGTGGGTAGGGCAATGTAGGGCATCCAACGATGTGGCAAGTGGCAAGGCTTTTGGATGGTTTTCTTCGGAATCGAGATCAAGAGGATGTGGATTTTTGTTGACGACCAACATGGACCGGAGGAGTTGATGATGAGTCGTCCTTTTCGTGCGTCCCTTTTCGTGTTCGTTCGACCCGAGGTATTTGACCGCAGGAAAGAACCGGAAGGCGGTGGAGATCTTTGTGAAGATCCCAGCGTTGGATAGTCTCATCGAGGCCGAGCCGGTTAGGTGTGTTGGTTGGGCGCCCGGACTGGTGACCATTGGAGGCTGGGGCCCGGGTGTGTCCCAGACACCCGGGGCCCGGACTCTTAGCATCTAACAGCAATGGCCTCCAACCCTACTATGGCCTCCAACCCTGCTGGCGATGGCCTCCAACCTACTAGCGATGGTCAGTAAAGGGCTTGTTCAAGAAGAGTGATTTGCTTCTTGTTTTGCGACTGTTACAGGTTTTCTGGGACACCGCCAAGGTAAGTGGTGTCCACTGGGGTGTCTATTGACCAACCCTCTGTCGGTATCATCCAATTGGAAGCACCGCAATGTTAGACATCCATGACATGGATGGAAACCGCAAAAAAGATTCTGACAAATGTTCAAGAACAAGCAACATCTGTTACAGAACCACCAATTCCTTAAAGGACACCCCACCCATCCGTGCTTTTCGAAACCGAAAGGGACACCAACCTTGCGATGCCACCCGGTCCAGAACGACCTCGATGGAGTCGTGAGAGAACGAAGAAAGAACGATGCCATGGGGGTATCGGGCTGTAGAATGTACCCTGAATTTCTTCCAGACCCCGGCCACATGTGCTGCCTTTTTCATCCTTTTAAGATTGCATGGAACCAGCCCAGTTCCAACTGCCACCAGTGTTTCCCGACCCTCCAGAGCGGCCGGAGGGTCGGACCCAGCCGGTTCCGGTCTGTTTGGGGTCGAAAAAGGGAGGGAGTGGCAGGTGTGGCACGTGAGCAGTACACTTCTAGACTCATCCCCTACAGGTCTTACGGACCTCATTTGACTGGATCCGGTCATGCCAAAACCTCAACGAGCGTTCAGGACCAGGTTTAACTTGGCCCTTCGACTTCAAGGGATCTGTTCATATGGAGTTGATTCCTTTTGGACCCTTTGCCGCCCGCCGTCCCCCGAAACAGGGCGCCGCGCACCACGCACGTCACAACCACCACGGCGGTGTTGGTCTCCGCGGCACCGCTGGGTGCGGCGGCGGCGCCTCAGGTGGTTCGGCAACTGCCCAACACGGAGATCTCGCTGCTGCAGATGGCCGCAAAGGCGTTACTTTACCTGTTTATCTTTTTCGTCCCAGTCGTGAGGGCTCGCGAGGACGCTGCGACGTTTGCGCCGGAAGTGGGCGGGAAGTGGGCGTGGAACGGCGATGTTGGCATTGGGATGTGTCTTAGACGCGGTCTTGGATCACCATGGCGGGTGTGAGGGATACAGCATGAAGAGAGGCACTGGTAAAACTAGTAGAGGCAGCTGGTCCGTATTGGTCCCTCTCTGAGGAAGAACATGGAACAAGTCCAACCCCATGTTCACAAGAGATTGCAAGTATTTGGGGCCGGGCGGCCCACCTACCTCCCACCCTCAGAGTTTGGTGCCGGAAGACGCTTCCAATCCTATGGTGTGCGCAGCCTGCACAGGGATCCTGGGTCAAACCCCTTATATGAGCCTGCAGGTTCCGTGTTTGTGAGCACTCCTGGCCTAGACCCTTTGAAGTCGAGGTGGATTCTCATTCTAAACGGCCTCCCTTTGCTCCAAACACGCCAAAAAAATGACAATGCTCGATTTCATTGCTCGTCTTGATCGGATTTTGGGGAATTTCCTGAGTTCTAAACATCTCCCCCGCACTTCCTTGACTGGAGTGCAGGGAGACAACTGTGCTACTCATTAAGATGGATTCTCTGGGCTACCCTTGTCCAGAAAAGCCACAGGACCAAAATCCACAGAAGCCATCTGATCTTGAGACGCCTCCGTTTTTTCATCACCCTGCAAGTGTTGGAGCAAATTTTCAGATGGCGTCCTGAACGACGCAGCTTCTTGCAGGCGTTTCGGCAAAACGGCCACTATGCCTTTGCCAAGGAGGCAGACTTGAAATGAACGCGGTGTCGTTTTCGACGTCGTTTTTGACGTCGTCTTTTGGTTCTTTTTTCGGTGCCAGACGGTTTTCGTAGTGGAGTAGCGAATCTGCATCCCTTGCAAGTGGTCTCTAGATAGATGCACCCACCTGAGTTTGATCCACAGTTTGATGCAAGAAAGACCGGATGCAGTATGGTGCAGCATGGTGCAGCATGGTGCAGCATGGTGCCTGGTGCAGATACTTCCCTTTTCTCTGTTGGTCTCACGGGGTGGGCTCATCTCCGCTCGCCGTACCTGCTCGCCGTAAAGCTGGAACACCACCACCGCGTTCCTCCCAAAGAAACCAGGGCTTCGGACCACCCCCTTCCACTTCGGACCACCCCTTCCACTTCAGACCATCAATCCATGTCCTTTTTTCCTACCTTTTGGGGTGATGCTCAAGATGCTTTGAAGGGTCACTGAGCCCAGCCTTCCCATGGTCAACCCGATCCCACGGACGTCCTCGCTCTCTCCGTGCGGAGCGCCTCAGCGCGCCCCGTCCGATCAGACCATCCTGAAGCTCAACGATGTGCAACAGCGACTCGGCGGGGAAAGGTGGGTTTTGCCGCGCGCGCGCCCGGTGGCGGCACACTGGCACACTGGCCAATGGCGCTCACAGCTAGGTGAGAAACGTTTAAGTGTGAATGATTGTACGCCTCTAAATCTGTCAAACTCTTCAAACAAGCTGCAATTTTTGAATTCTAATACTTGAAGCTGAAGTCTGAAGTCTGAAGTTGAAAACAACGTTGACTGGAGTCGGCTTTGAGCCCAATCCATTCTCAACATCACATGTGGATACATGTGGTGTTTACTCGGGAGTCCTACATGGTAGGCCACAGGGTTGGTAGAGCCAGATGCACGCCAGGGTTGCGTGCAAGTGTAGAATAAGCAGGGGACTTGGTTACAGTGGTTTCAGAGTAGATGGCACAACCCCCAAGATGTGTTTTTTCTTTTTAAATGTGGGGGGTCCATCTATACCACGGTCCATCTATACCACCGTTTGGGGATTGTGCCATCTACTCTGAAACCGCTATATCTTAAGATTGTTAAACTGTTGCAGAGCTGGGAGAACTACTCACGGTTACCCACCTGTATCGCTGCTATGTGGGGGGGCATATGTACAGTCAGTAGAATATCCCGGTCCAATTCTTTGGGGCACCGGGGCTTTGGGGCTTTGGTCTTCGAACGTGCACCACGGATGCGCGACGCCTCTAACCACACCACGCTGGGGACCCTGTTCCGTCAGATGTGGGTGGTTTCGGTGAGCTCGTGAGGCTGATCAGCTTGCACATGGAGAACCACCACTGGGATGAAGCTTTCCAACTCTCGAAGCAGCACCCAGAGTATGCCGCGCAGATCTACTTGCCTTGGGCCAGGGGGTCCTGACCGAGGTTTATTGGGACGAAGGGGTGGACGTGGACCGGGTGGGTGATGGTGGAAGTGGAGGCTGAAACGTGGTCAAAGGTGGCCGCATCAGACATCAGATGCACGGAAATTGTCCAGAGCAAGTTAGCTCCTAGCTTTGTGAAGCACTTGATGAGTCGTACTAAGATGTTCCCGAAAAGGAGAAGATGAACTGAAGTCGCAGCCTTGGACAGGCTGCTTAAGGAGGTCTTGTTTGGGAGGAAGTGAGGGGATGTAAGAACCCTTAAGTCCTCAAGACCCACACGGTGCGGTAGGCGCTTCACGCGCCGTGCCCCCGGTGCTTAACGCCGCATCACGGCGTACCGTTTCGCATCGCGTGCGCGAGGGGTTGGGCGTCGGCCGCCTGCCGTTCTGCCCGGGGCCGAGGCCGAGTGGCTCTCGTTCAACGACAAGTTCGATGATGCCTTGGATGTGCGATTGCCCCCCCCCGGCTGCAGTGCTACATGGGTTTTGGTCGCGTTCCCCCTCATCGGACGGGGATCGGTTTCTGTTCGGGGGCGGGCCGTGGCTGTGAGGGCGGTGAGCTGAGCTCACCGTGGCAATGAGCTTTGTTCAGGTGGGGCCAAAGGGTGTTCACCACTTCTAACCGGTTTCCGGTTCGCAAAGTTACTCGAGGAGATCCAGTTTGTACAGGTGGTGAAGGAGCAGATCAGCACTAAGCTAATTACTGGGATCCATTTTCGTCACATATTCGGTTTGTGGGTGGGCGCTATGCTGAAAAACATGCTGTTTGATGGTTTGACGCTGGTGATTTAACATGCTGCAAGTAGCGATACAGGTGATTCATTTAGGAGCAAAACTGTTGATTCATTTGGCCACGTCAAGCATTTCTTTTTCGCGGGCACGTCGACGGGTGGCGATGTCTCGAACTTCAGCGAACTTCCGCAGTTGGAGGTCGAAGGAAAACATGTCAAAGTGACGAACAAGAATGACAAGACAAAGTATATGCATGCAGGAGTGCCAGAGTCTCAGAGTACCCCCTGGTGAGGTTTCAAGTCACAGAGCCGAAAACAAGGACCAGCCAAACTACTCTCAAAAAAGGTGCCGGATGCCTCCAAAACAACATCGCATAACATCCTCATCTATATCCAAAAGATAGTCCAAAATCCAGATTCTGAAGTGATCGATCAGCCCCACAGTCAGCCACACTTCGAGCAGACCGAGCTGCCGGTATCCGGGTGTCGCGGGTGTCGCGGGCGGATCAAGGGGGCCGCACCGGTGTGTTGCTCACGCTGCCATGGGCCACGGCAGAACACGAAGAGGATGGACCTTCAAGAGGCCGCCCACCGCGTTCCACCCAAGCGCCGCCTTTCCCCCACCAACGCGGGCGGGGGGAATGGCGGTCCGTTGGTGTCGTTGGAAGCGGTTCGTCCGACATGGTTTGTCTCTTTGGGGATGGCGTTGACTCTCATGCGGTGCAGCATCCTGGACGACTAGCGACCGCAGTTGCCGGGCCGCTGGGTTCCAGCGTGTCTCGGAGACCCCAGCCTATCCCAGCTGCAAACACTTTGCGAACTCTAGGTTTCCACCATAGAAAGAAAGGTTGACCTGGTTTTGTAGTTAAAATCCTTAGTAAACAATGGTTGTTTGGGATTTTGATTATAACAACATCAATAGGTTTGAATCCTAGGGTGAAAGGATCCTTGAAGCTGGGAGAAATCCAGAAGCTTGGTGACTCAGAGTGCTTTTGGGAGTTCCCCTTCGGATAGGTCAGAGGTGCTTGACAAGTCGACTTCTTCCAAGATGAGCAGCAGCAGTCTGGGTTTAGAATGATGACAGATGTGAAGGGTTATCCCGTTGGCCCAAATAGACAGAGGCACCAAATGAAGGTGATGTAGGGAATGGGTCCAAAAACTAAAGCCCTCCCCCATGTAGCGAACGCCCCGGTTTTGACATGTTTTGACCCATAGCCATGTCAGGGAGGAGGGTCAACTCAATGAGCTTTGACACTGTTTGGCATCAAATTGTCAATACCACCGTTCTGGCCGCATCGCTCGGCGCCCGGCATCGCTCGGCGCATCGCTCGTTCACCCCTTGGAGCACTTCGTGGGTCGCTTTTGGATGACAGGGTGCTTGTGGCACAATCTGGTACAGGACCAAAAAAACATGAAGTTTCTCTTCAAAAGTCTTTGGAGCACTTCACCACCTTGGTCCCACGGCTCAACACTTGCCCGTCGCCCAAAACGGGCACGGTGTGAACGAGACACATCGGAGGCCCTGCTCTTCACGGTCTTGCCATGTGTCGACGACGAGGCAGAGCTGCCACTGGTGCTGCTCGGCGGAGACGAGATGGAGAACACAGCGGTGTGGAGTGGTGTTTCACATTTAGGGTCCTGTTGGCAGGAAGGCCATCGCTTGTATATCTTTGTGAGTTTGGCATTCTTTCCCCCAACAAGAACCATGAAGGACACATGGGAACACAAGTGGGACCACAAGTGGGACCACAAGTGGGAACAGAAGTGGGACCACAAGTGGGACCACAAGTGGGAACACATGGGCGATCATATTGGCACACGGGGGTTTGCGTAAATCGTCATCACCTCAGGTTCCTTTTGCGACGTCCTGATGGCCAGCGTTTCATCCCGACGTCGAGACGTCAAGAGCACAGTCCACTGAGGTTGCAACAGCTGCGACAAAGACGGTTGAAGGACAGCTGAAGAGCGTGAGAGGGGCGAGGCACCAGTTACACCAGCTCTTCTTGGAGGTAACACATAATGTGCTGCTAGAATTGATATGCTGAAGATAATTATATATATGTATAACTTGGTTAATTCTATGTAGACCGGTTCATGAACTTCATGGATGGTCGAGAAACAGTAGCATTTGACTTTGCACTCTTCAGTCTATACTATACATGATCTATTACCCTAGATGTCGAACCATCATAGCCTCTACTGAAAAACTATATTGTTTTACTAAGGATTTTACACTACAAAACCAGATCAACATTATGATGTAGATATGAGTAGACTACCACCCTGTTTGGGGTGTTACGGAGCCCAAGAGCTGGGGGTTGACGAGGAGCTCGTGCTTCGCTCGTGCAGGACAGGGACACTTGAAGGCCGAAGGCCTCCCAAATTGGAATCCAACGACTTCAACGCTGCCCCCCCCTTCTTCTTCGGCCTTTGTGAGGAAGCCCGCGCAGCGTTGGAGACGTGGCTGGCTTCGTCGCTGCTGCAGCAGCGCCAGGGGAAGGAGGCGCGTTCTGAGTTCTGCGCAGAAGTTCCGGTGTCCGTGCGGTTTGGGCTTCACCGGAGGCGACGTTTTCTTTCTGCAAGAAGGAGACGTGGGTGGGTGTTGGCGGATTGGGTGATGTAGATCTTTCACCATTTTTCCCTATCGTTGGGAACTGCTTCAAATCCCCTTTCCGGGATCTTATATGGGGAATGTGGCCTGGCACTTGTGTGTCTTCTGTCCCGGTTGACGGCCCCAATGGCCAGGTGGGGAAACCATTGGGGGTTAGAGAAGCACAACACTCGCCGCGGCTTAGGAGACTGTCCATCCATTTTGACCTGGACCCGCTTAAGATACGCTTGAAAAGGATCGAAATGGCTCGGAAGGAGGAGCACGTCCTTCTCGAAAGATGGGGCTTCAAAATTCATGAGTCATGAATGAGTCCGACACGCTAGCCAACAAAAATACCTCTGACTCTGACTCATATCTTTTAAAGCTCACCTCTTGAAAAGGCCATTTCTCGACCCAAAAAGGTCCTCAGAGCGCATTTTGACGGGTCTCTTGGATTCTTCGGTGGGTTGACGAGGGACGGCCACGGGCCTTCAGGCCACGAAGAGCTCGGCGGACGTTGGCTCGCCGGGTCAGAAGCGGGAGGCTCGGGGATGAAGCGGGGCGTGGTGTCTATGGGTGTCTCAACATGTTTCCACATGATCAGGGGTCTCACTCAGGTTTTGGTCTGCCCCTTTTGCCAAGGTGCGTTTCAGGTCTGTGTCAGAGGAACTGGCGAAAGACACTTCGATCCTCTGGCTCATCGTTTTGATGGTCTTTGAAAGAATGGGATACACCGATACATCGCGCGCCCTGGACACTTTATAGCAGTCAGATTTGACAGGAATCCCGAGCATTCTCACCTAATGAGTCCGAAGATGAGTCCCCACGCGCCCACGCGCGGCACCATGGGATGTAGTGCGGGAAATGTAGCCAGGGGCGCCTAAAGAGTCCCAACGCAAAACATTTCTCCTGGAAGTTTCAAGGGACTCCGGGGATACTCAGGGTGGTTACCCCCCTAGTGAGTGATGTGATGGAACAGTAACATGACCAGCACCAGGTGGGACTCCAGTTTGCATCCCTGCATCCATCCCCTCTCCACTCCACGTTCGAACAAACCGTCCTGGTCGTTCTCTAAGATCGAAAGCCCCGATGTCCCTGCGCAGGTCGACGTGCCCTCCGCGCGCCCGAAGACGGGCGCCAGGCCCTCGCCGCGCTGTTCGGTCACCTCGCCCTGTTCGGACCCGGAGCTCGAGGTCACCTGGACGTGGACCTCGACGGGTTCCGCGCGCCGTCCTTGGGGCGGGTGCCGTCCTGCGGGCGGAGTCGAGCTGAAGGAGGTGACATCCATGAGGAACGCGGGTGGAAGAGGGCACGCAGAGTGCCGGTGCCCGAGCGTTCATCGCTTCGACTTCGAAAGCGAGGATGCTGTCGTAGATGCTGTCGAGCATCGGCGTTCAGAGGTTCATGTGGATGCAGGCGTGGATGCACCTGGGATGCGAGCGCAGCACAAGCAGCTCAGAATCGAAGGCGAATGCTTAGATCACCCCTACTTTCCCAGCCATGTTTTCTTGTCCAACAGGTGCCATGAACGTACAGGAGGAGCAGGTGCAAGTGGTGTGCAGGCACAAGAAACCTGTGCAAACCAACATTGCACGATTGCGCAAGAAGCTCTGATGAGACAAGATGAAGAGGATTCTCCAAATTGTACCGATGCACATGGGGCAAAGATGCAAAGCCATGAACACGCTGCGCATTCCGTACAAGGAGTACAAGTTGAGGGTACACCTTCCATTGGCACAGGGCAAGTGGTCTCGAATTCGGCTTCGACTGATGATGGACCTCCGACCTTCGGCAATATGAGTGCTGTGTGTTGTTTGCAGCCCTTGGCGGACGTGACCCCTTCCAAGCAAAGACTGCCTTTTCATTTTCCTGTGCCAAGTATGTCAGCCGGCACTCATGGTGGTCGTAATGATGTTGCGAGAGGAGTTGGAGGTGACATTGCGACCACGGGTCAAGAATGTCACAGTGATAACAGGGAGGACGCTATGTCGGGCCCAAGTACAAGCAATACAGAGGCTGGTACACCCACAGTTGGCACACATAATATGCTGTCCAAGCGTGTCCGACTCCATTCTACACCCAGCATTGTAGAAGGTC